ACTCAAAAGTTTGTTTTGCCATACAGAAGCCTTTTTAGTTTGCTATTGTCCCACTTACTTATGTTTACTTTTGATTCCTGTGCTTTTGGTGTCATATCCAAGAAATAATTACCAACATGCATACCATGGAGCTTTCCACCTAGGTTTTCTCCTAGGAGTTTAACAATTTCAGTTCTTATCTTTAAGTTTTTAATACATTTTGAGCTTACTTTTTTTTATAGTGTAAAATATAGGTCCAATTTTATTCTTTTCCATGTGGCCATCTAACACAATTTGTTGAAGACACAGTATTTACCCCACTGCATCCCTTGTCAAAATCAGTTGACAATGTATGTGTGGGTTTATTTCTAGGCTCTTTATTCTGACCCATTGGTGTATATGTCTGCCATTATGCCAGTTTTGACCAAACTAAGACAGATTTTTTAAATCTGTTTTTATAGCAATAGACCTATATGAGAGTAATTTCTTAAGATTTAATATTAATACTTTGCTTTATCCATAATCTGCACCAATATATACCTTTCAAGTGAGGGAATCACAGAAAAAAAGAGTTACAAAATACCTGACTAAATGTTACTCAGCTACTTTTCTTGATAAAGTAGGAATAAGAACCCTGGCCATGTGAGATCTTGCCCGATGACTTCTACCACATGACTGACCACTGTTTCATATGATTAAGAAAAACTTACTATAGTTATAGTATATTGCAAAATTTTCCATTCTTCTGAATATAATTTCATAATTAAAGATAAAAATAAAAACAGCAGATGGGAGAGAAAAGGGAGACAGCCTACTTTAGCAGCATTTCTTGGAGAGCTGGACAAGCAGACTGTGGGAACTGGAAAACAATGATCAAATTGCTAACGATGAAGTCACCAATCAATCATAATCAATTGACTGTCAAACCCCAATTTTGTTCATATTTCTCATGGATTGAAGTCCCTTTTTTATTTTTGTGAATTAAATACACAAAAGGCAAAGTTTTTGAGTAAAACAGACTGGAAGTCAAAGATTTAGAAATTCCCTTTTATCTCAATATTTCCCTGTGTCTTCAGTCCCTTATCTATATGATTTATATCATTCTTGCCTAATATAAAGATTCAAATTTTTATAGTTTGGAGAAAATTCACTCTTTACTTGTTTACTGTATAGTTTATATAATACCAATAAATTCTAAGTGTCCTATTTGAATGTAATTTGAGATTCATACATTACTGTGATAAAGGAGAAAATTAAATTCTTGTACCTAAAGAAAGCTACAAACATTTGCATAATATATAAAAGAATAAAAGGTAACAAGCCACAGCCAATTGCCTAATCATAAAATTTATAGAAACAAGTTCTTTTAACTATATTTGATATATTCAATCACTTTTTTAACAAAATTTATAAAATTCTTACTAACCACATTAGGCAAAGTACTCTTCTAAACTTATGTATGCAGACGAAAACAAACAAAAAGCTGAAAGATCCAAAAAACTTCAGAGTAGCCTTAAATGAATTTTAAACTCAAGTAAGATTCCTATTGTTAAACCAAATGACCACGGACATGTAAGAACATGGCAACTGCTTGAGAAAAGTTGTTGATGAAAATGGCAGGAATGGCAGGTCTGAGAAGAAGAGGCATGCTAGCGTTAAAAGTATAGGAGCAAGGTAGATAACAAATCAATATATGTGCACATTATATGTTAAGGAAAGTTCATTGCTGGGATAGACATTATCAAGCCATTACGGCACAATGGAACAAATGCATTTTCTACACTGGATACTGAGAATGACGATAATAGTAATAATTAAAACATCAGCTACTATATAATATTTACTTAGTTTACTTAAACTTCATAATAACATGATGATTTGGTGTTATTCCCCAATTTTACCAATGAGGAAATGTATATTTTTTCTGGTCAAGCCACATGTCCAAAACTGTAGTTGATAAATCATAGAACTCAAACCTATCTCCAAGTCTTTTCATTTAATCTGTAATATTCCCTGCTCTTAGATATATGGTCATACTGTTGAGATTGCTGAAGAACCATTAAATCTGTGGTGTATGAATACAGATGGAACAGATAGACCCTAGAGCAGATTAATAAATATTAGAATGAGAGAAAGGTGGAGAGGGGAGTCAGAAAGCAAGACTCAAGCAGTCATGTTTGTGAATTTCTTTTTTTTACAGTTGAATAGAAGATTGGATGTCTTCTCAAAAAATATTTTTTTGCTTCCTTGTATGGTAAGGTGATCTTTAATATATGAGCAATGCTACTGGGTTTCTTTTTCAATAATCTACAATCCCTGAAATGTTCCTTTGCCTTGCTTCTTGGCAACAAGTTCTTCATTAGTGCTCTTTATAATGCAAAGGTCATGAGAAATAATTTACAAGAAGTCTATCAGAGTAAACACAAACAACTCTATTTTATTCAGAATACTAAAAAATCCTATTTGCTTACAGTGATTTAGATAACACACAACAAAATAAAAGCTTTCCCTTGGATAATTATGTTTTTATTCAATTATCTGATTTAGCTGTCGAACCACTTAGGGAAAAAAATCCTTCTGCAATGCACATAGAATAGATGTCTCAAAATGGCTAATGAATAAATCAATGGTTGAACAAAAGTATTTTAAAAAGGAAGTACTTACTTGGTTAGCCTCTCAGAGCACACTTGAGATAATGCATGCTTTCTTTGATTAATCAAAGTCTTTATATTACAAAACAATTATTACTCATCAAAAAATTGTGTCTTATTTTACTGCATATACGTATGTATGTATGAACCAATGAGAAATTATGGTTGCCAAAAAAAAAAAAGCTACTGCAATCTTAGGATGGATTAAAACAAGCATCATAGAATCTAGTAGAGGAGACAATCCCATTTTTTCTCTTTGCACCAATCAGATGATATGTAGAGGGATACACAATATGTGGGTGAAAACTTGATTATCATAAGAATTTTTTAGCTATTATAAAAAAGAAAAGGGCATAGACAGAGAAAAAGGAAAAAGAGGGTAAGGTCCCTGAAATTACATTACAAAAAAATAGAAGGTGGTATTTCCAACAGACATCTTAATGAAAGATCTACTCACTCTGAGTTAGACTCCAGGGGAGGGGCAAGTGTTAAGAATAATGTAAATCATAGGGATATTTGAAGGAGTAATTGCTTTCTCATTGTAGGTGGTGGAAAATAGCATGACTTCTAGCGATGGATAAGAAATTTGGGTTCTCAGGAACACAAGGCAAGTGGAGAAGAGGAGAACAAGAGTGTACAAATGCAGTAAAGAGCTAAATGAACAGATTGTGGCAGGCTTTGCTCATGAATTTTACTTCATGCTAGTAAAAAGGCAATGAATGATTTTATTCATGAGAGTAACATGGTCAGATTCCTGTTTCAGAAAAACAAAACAGTGCAAGGGTAGTGGCCAGATCATATCCGCTAGAATTAAAAGCAAAGCATCATGTTTGACAGCTCTTAAAATAGTCCAGATGAGGAATGGTGAGGGCTGAGTCAAGGCAGGATAAACATGTTGATTTCCATTGCTCTCGTTGTTCTCAATAGAAAAGAGAATTTAAGGGGTGAGATGAAAACTTTTATACTGTGTCTCTCCTAAGCAAGGAAAGTGTATTCACACTGAAGAATAATTAAAATGCAGTCTTCCATCTTAATTGTGCCCGTGTGGAAGCCAGATTCTTCTACCATAACTGCTAGCTAAACATGTGAGATTGGATACCAGATATGTCCCTATTTTACAAAAGAATGAGCAACATCAGGAGTTCAACTTTTCTAAAGGTGATATGCTCAATGCTCTTATTACGGGGGGGGGGGGCACCTAATTACATTAATCAAAACAAATACAGTTTCTATCCTCAGAGATCAGTCAGTACACCTTGCCAAGGTAATAACATCTTTTTGTTCCTTTCACCTTTTTCCTCAAAGGCTGGGTTACTTTGTTTCTGCCAATTCCAGATGCTCATTTCACTTAGCTCAGCATTTTGTCTTATTTCTTAAAGTGTTTCCAAAGTTTCTTAAAAGTTTCTGTAACTCTTTTTTAATTTTTTTTTTTAATATTTATTTATCTTTGAGAAAGAAACAGAGTGCAAGCAGGGGAGAAGCAGAGAGGGAGACAGAATCCAAAGGAAACTCTAGGCCCTGAGCTGTCAGCACAGAGCCTGATGCTATGCTGGAAGCCACAAGCCATGAGATCATGACCTGAGCTGAAGTTGTATGCTTAACCGACTGAGCCACCCAGGCGCCCCAGTTTATGTAACTCTTAATCTACCAAATATTCTAAGTTTTGTAATTATCAGTAATTCAGGCTCTTTCTTCCTTTTCACAGATCTGATTTTACAAAGCATGAAAGAGTTCTTACCTAAGATGTGTTTCCTTGGCTCAGTCAACTAGTATTTAAATAGTGCTGCCCCTAATTCCTGGTAAAATATCATTTTTGATTTTTAGCATTTAGAGCCTGCCCATAAAACTTATCAGGAAGAGAAGAGTCTCTGAATTTATTGCCTGTCCTTACTTTAAAATTGCTATCAATGAAATTAAGTCTTAACTACTAGATTCAGTGCTACCTAATTACCCATTTCTTCATTTTATAACTTTACTACATGTAATTTTATTAATGGAGATTCAAGATATCCTAATTATAACAGGGCATGTAGAAATGCCTATTTTTATATCAAGTAAGCTGAGAATTATAAAAGCATATCAATATATATTAGTTAACACCTGCTTATTGTGTGCAAAATAGTCAGTACTTCTAATGAATGCCATTGTGTTTGATGGGCATTTATAGATTCTTTTTTAGATTCTATGGAGATAATCCACAAATTCCTCCAGAATTAACATGTTCTAAAAATTCTTCTCTAATCAGAGTCTACAGCTCCTCAGCATGGAAATGTGGTTTCAAATATATGATGTCATCTTATTACTTTCCCATTATTATATTTTTAATGAAAAATAGTTGCCACAATGTTACATTAGTTTCAAGTGTAAAACAAAAAATGTGGAAGCTTCACGAATTTGCATGTCACCCTTGCACAGGGCCATGCTCATCTCTGTATCGTTCCAATTTTAGTGTATGTGCTGCCAAAGTGAGCGCTACTTTCTCATTATTTAATGTAAATATGGTGATGGATTATCTATATGGAAAGCACTCCAAGAAGAGAGAACATGTTATTTGCTGTTGAAAGACTCTGAAATAACAATGACAAAAAATGTTATACCACAATGACTCGCCCAATCAAAATGGGAAACAGAAGAAATGTGTGGTAGAAGAGAGGACAGGGCTAAGACACTTATCAGGTAATGTGTATTTTTCTGAGGCTCTGGCACCAGCATTTTATTAATAATTTATAAGTTAGTTTCGCCATTACAGCAAAGATTTTCTGAAAAACCTCATTGCTTTTTTTTTTTAGAAAAGCATTTGAAATATTTAAATAATAGATATTTCATTGGTTAATGTCAGATATTATCATATATATCCAAAAGAAATATTTTAAACTTAATTGCTTCATCTATAAATATTTTGTTTCTAACAGATGTAGTAACCAAAATACCAACTATTTGAATATTAATAGATCAAATAAGAATTAACATTTTATTTATTTTCCCGGGTATTTAAATATAGTCCAAGTTTTTAAGTTAAAAGGCATATGTTTTCCTTTATTGTGTAAATGTTTCCTTTATTAAAATCTTCATTTTCATATAAACTAGATATTTTCTGAAATATTTTTTCTTCCAGTGTTTTATTTTTCAATCTTTGCACCATTTCCATATTGCTTAAATTATTGTATGAGTTGAATACCTAGAAAGATAGGCCACTTCTCTTAAGTACTTTTTTGAAATATTCTTGTTATTGCCAACACTTAACAAAATTCCTTCCACATACCTCTTACCCCCACAAATGCTGTTGGGGTTAGAGGTGACCTACAATTTTTATGTAATGTACAATTTTGCAATTTTTAAAACTCTGAATATCTGTGAAAAATGTGATACACATGAGTTTTAAACATGTTTTCCTATACAAAGTAATTGTAATTGCTTTCCAAATCTTTTAATCTCTGATTGTACCAGTATTGCCATGAGCTTATATCAAGAGTAGAGATGTAAGAGGAAATATTAGTGCATTTTCTTGAACCTAATTTCCTACATTACATAAGTGATTGCAAAACATAAAAGTATATTTCTTCAATTATCTATTATAATTATCAATTATAATTCTAGCATCTATATATTTTTTGAGATGAACTTTTTCTATTCTGAATTAGTGAATGTGCTAGAATGTCTCTTTAAGTGGTAACTCCCCAAACTTGGCATCTTTATTAGTTTGCATATTTCTAAACTAAGCTGGGAACTACCTTTTTTTTTTCATTGCATTGCTTTGGTGCTTTCTAGTATGTGGTTACAGCATATTTTTATAGCATTCTTAGGTCTCCTGATTCAGTCTTAGACATGTTTTCTAGCGACAGACTCAGTTATCCTCTGAAAAAAACAGTTTTGAGGGTAGTGGGAGGGCAGTTGTCCTGGATGACAGTTCAATCCAGGGTGGGCTTTTTGCTACAATGTTTTTCATGTGTGAATATCTACTTATTTAAAAAAAAAAAAAAAAAGCTTCAGACTGAGATCTGTTTACTTGCTCATTTGTTTCTTAAGAAAGGTTTGGGGGATAATAACTTCTTCAGAGTAAAGTCATGATTCACCACAAAACAATATCAATACATTGTATTTCCCTTTAAAAAGAAGTGATCAGTATATTAGTCTCTGTATTTGGAAGTTTGATAGAAACATTTGCCGTATCACACAACAGAAATTTAAGCATGAGCCCTCAAGTGCTAGTTAGTTAATAACAATCCAACAAACTCAAACAATTGAGATAAACCTTGCATAGGTAACAACACAGATTCTTGAGTCAAACAGACCTGCCTTTCAGTTGTAATCCTGCTATTTACATGCCTGTAACTGTGAACCACTTACCTCAAATCTGTTATTCTTAATTCTATTATCTTTAAAATGTGGATAACAGCAGCATACTGAATTCAATTCAACAGTATCTATTGAATTCAATTATTGGAGTAATAAATGACAATTTATGTGAAGCAGTTTGAACAATGCCTGATACAGAGTAAAAGCTCACAAATTGGTAGTTAAAAACAAGATGAGGTAAAGTTGTTTATATTTCCCATGGCTAAAATTTCAACACCAAAAAACATAAATTTGAATGTTAAGTATTCTATATTAAATTAAGTATGAAATAGTTTAAGTAGAAAATGTCACAGAATACTATCACATTCACCAAAAGTAATTTTTTTACTACAAACAAAAACAGCAACAACAAAAAAAACAAAACCCAAAAATGAAAAACAAAAACAACAAAAACTCACACCATAAGTTAAATATGCATTTACAACTTAAATTTCAATAAGCATTTAAAGTTCTACAGAACTGTCTGTTTGAAGGAAAAGAAGGCTCTATTCTCTGTTTTAACTTAATTTCTAAGAGGAGTTGTTCTTGTGCTTTGGCGAGTTGAAGGAGCTTTGAAAGTTAAGGATAAAGCACAAATATTTAAGACAAAGAAAAAATTTGCAGGTAATTGCAGACTCTATTAAAGCCTTAATTAAAGGGCACTAGGAAAGCGAATTAGCACATCTGAGATTTTAATCAAACTGCTATTTCAACCAATTTATTAATTGACTCCAGGATTAGGCTGTAATGTGCACTGTTAAGATTATGTTCGTGATCTGAAAACCCTACGACTATATCTCACTATTCTTATCTCAGGAATAACCGAGTTGAAATATGCATTTAAAAGGGATCTCCTAGTTTTATAGGGATGCTTGTAGATCTTGCAAGAGCATTGATCATTCTATGCCTACAATAGCTAAACCTATATATATATATATATATATATATATATACACACACACACACACACACACATACATATATGCATACATATACATATATATATATATATATAAAATTTGGATTTCAACATTCACTTGTTGAGTGACTGAATGCTTACAGATATTTGGATTCATCTAAAGACAAAAGACATTCTTGACTTAAAATATAGTTCAAACAAGAGTTATAGCAGTCTATAATACAACATAGAGCCTATAGTTAACAATACAGTATGGTGAATTTCAAAATTTGTTAAAAGATTTCATGTTAAGTTTTCTTACTAGAAAAATTAAATAGCAAAGTGACATAAAGAAATGGTGGAAAGGATGGATATGTTTATTACTTTGATTGTCCTTATGGTATCATGGGTGTATTCATATGTCCAGACACATCAAATTGTATACATTAAATATGTGTAGTTTTTTTGTGTGTACATGTCAATCATATCTCAACAAAACTATTAAAAAATGTTAAAAGAAGGTACTTCTGCATTCTTGGCAGGAATAGAAAAAAATTATTACATATATAAAAATAAAATTCATTTTTAAATATCTTAAAGATAATTGTAGTAAAACCAAAAGGCATTTTCAAACTACATGCAATAATCCTATAAATTCCAATCTCAATATAGGACCTTGTCTTCATCTGTTTGGGCTACTATAACAAAATACAATGCATCAAATCACTTATCAACAGTACACACTTTTTCTTACAGTTCTGTAGGCCGCAAAGTCCAAGATCAAGTCACTGGCAGATTCAGTGTCTGGTGAAGGCTTCTTCCTATCTGTCCCTCTTTTAGTGATAACCTCATGTGGCAGAAAGGATGAAGGATCTTGCTGGAGTCTCTTTTATAAAGGCACTAATCCCATTCATCCTTATGATGACTCTTCCCTCATGACCTAATCACCTTTCAGAAGTGTCACTTTGGGGCACCATCACTTTGAAGATTAGGTCACAACATAGAAATTTTGAGAGGACACAAACATTCAATCTATAGTGGGCCTAACTTATCCTGAAGTCTTCAATCAGGAGATTACCCTACTGTATTTTCTGACATACAATAAAAGTGAAGAAACACAACTTCACATAGCCTTCTATATATACATGTATATACATGGACATGTATATATTACAGAGTGAAAGGGACTCCCTTCTACTGTAAAAAGGTTATGTGTTACTCTGCTTGAAGCCAAAGGGAGCAAACTGAAATCCCTTATAATTTTTTTTTTCTTCAGGTGATTTTTAACACCTGCTTATGTTCTTACCTCACTAGATAAACAAGAAAATACTCCTTTACTTTAAATATAGTGTTTTTGAATTCATGATGCATTTTAAAGTGTTTGGAAAACACAAGCAAAAGGCAATTATAAATTTTCCAGTGGCTAGGCATTTTCAGCTTTAACAAGAGTAGCACCAACTTGGAAGTCTCTAGTTGTTAGTGAGATTAACCAGTAGGGCCTGTTGTAAGAACAGATTTAATGTTTTTTTCATATAGCAGTGATTAAACATAAAGATTTTGACATTGCCAAACAAGTGTATTAATCATGCCTCTTTGTTTTTTGTATTTCTGAAGCTTTGACATCTGGGGCCTTGCTGTCCAGGACAGACTGCTTCCCTCAGGGCTAGCCAATTCCTAGAGATAGTAAAGGATTCACCTGTAAGAGTGTCTTTCTTTCTTCTTCTTTTCTTTCTCTTTCTTTCTTTCTTTCTTTCTTTCTTTCTTTCTTTCTTTCTTTCTTTCTTTCTTTCTTTCTAAATGTTTATTTTTAAGAGAGAGAGCGAGCATGAGCACGTGTGAGCAGAGAGGGAGAGACAAGATCTGAAGCAAGCCCTGTGCTGACAGTGGAGAGCCCAAAGTGGGGCTCAAACTCATGAACCTTGGGATCATGACCTGAGCTAAGTCAGATGTTTAACCAACTGAGCCACCCAGGTGCCCTTGCAAGGGTGTCTTTCATATGTAAACTGACAAATCCAGCTCTTTTATCACTCTCCAGGACTCTTACCTTCCAGGCTACTATTCACCTGCCCCTAATCACTCAGAGCCAGGTACCAGACAATCAGAGAGAGCTGCTATACTCCAGAGCCCACTGAAGTTACTAACTAGCCCGTCATAAACTTGCTTTCCTGTGTTGTCCATTGCTTCACATGGAAACCACAGTAAAGGTTCTTGTCCCTGCTTTCCTCCTGCTCCTTCTACCT